CCAGGGCAGCAGAGCTGGAGCAGGCCTGGGAGGGGAGAGCACCAGTTTAATTTCAGACACACTGAGTGATGCTGAGTGGGTATCTGTGAGCTGTCTGCTGGGCTTCAGGAGACTGGAGAGTGCAGGGCAGAAGGAAAGCCAGGCTTGGGTATGAGTGCTTTGGAGTCATCTCTGCCTCACTGGACCAAGAGGCAGAGGCAGAGCTAATTGCTGCAGCTTATGGAATTTGTGGGTGGCCTATTTTGTGCCAGTTTTGCTGCTTGCTCTCCCTCCTTCATTCCTTCCCTCCTGTCTCCCCTTTTCTCTGTTCTTAGGAGGGAAATGCCGAAGTTGCTTGCAGAGAAGCATTGACTCATTGATTCATGCAAACATAAACTAAGTTTTAAAAGAATTTCAAATGTGTCTATTGGAACCAGTTGCATATCATCCATAGCCTTTACTGTCACATAAAATGGATTCCCATGTGACTGTAGAGAAGTCATTGTATTCCTTACCACTCAGGTTCTTAGATCCCTTATAAGACAGATAAGACTGGTAAGACCCATGGTCCTTGTAACTGACCACAGGTAGCCAAAACTGACATTATGTGAGCATAATTTGGAGAAGACAGAAGAAGGGGCCAAGACTGAGGGATCTGTTTTAAACCTTCTAGCATGATTGTGATATACAGCCTGGGCTACATAACCTGCTAGGTTCATTCCATCTCTTATATTCATTCTAAAGCTTTATCAATATTTAGACAAAATGTGCATTTTCCACAGCTCATAAGTGAGAAAACATATCCAAAATGCAAATTTACTGTCAAATTCAGTTCATGTATAACAAAATACTCCCCCTCTCCCCTTTAAGTTAGAGGATGATATATATTTGAAATGTATTTGAAAAGCACTGTAATTTAGAGCCCTCCTGGGATGGTATGAGCTGGGGTAGGGGCTTGGAAGAGGAAGAAAGCCAGGCAAGATGAGCAGCAGGCTCACATGCTCATTTCCAGCCACACCCAGGGACTATCTCCATACCTGTAGTTCAGGGCTGTCTGTTCTTTGCAGTTGATTTCAGTGCTTCTGCGGTTCTTGTCCAGTCATGTCCTTGTACTGCTTCTGACTGTCCCTGTCACAGTTTATACATAAGCATTTCAGAAACAACTCTTCCCAGGCCCAGTGCTGGTCTAGAGTAGAGGACAGTGTCTTTAACCCAGCCCTGTCTGTGCGGTAGAAATCCCATCCCAGATTTCCTAATGTAACCTTCCCATAGCTCACATGGTTCCAGCATTGTTTTGGCATTCATAATGTACATTCTAATGGCCCCATGAAAACTCAGGCATGGCCACAAAGGAAGGAAGGCCAGGATGGAGGCATCCAGTTTTTCTCCACTGTCTAGATTTTATTTCTTCCAGAGGGGACTCAGTTGCAGAATATGACATACTGGGCTGACCAGCTTATAATTTAATAGGTTAGAATTTGGAAATTGAAAATTACCAACTTCCAAATTTAATTTTGACATCCTATTTTCTCAGTGAGTGTTTATTGAGGAGGTACTAAAACTGGGGAATTCTACTCAGTTGTTAAATCAGGAACTAGCAGCTAGCTGAGTGATTCTGATGTGTCTTACCTACCACCAAAATTTTAGACCTGACCTAAATGCAGAGCATAGCCTTGCCGATGATGTTAATTCGTCACCTGTATGGAACCCTGAAGAGCATTTCCCAGAGTCCTGTTCCCCTAGGTAAAGCCTTCTCTGCTCCTCATTTGGGTCATCCCATAACTCTTTGTCCATTCTTCAACCCCTTGGCTTCCATCTTCTTTCGCCAGGTTTGGTTCCTTGGTTTAATTCCACTCAGGTGGGTGAGCTGGAGACTTAATGAAAGTAATTTATCGTAAGGTGTGGATGAGGTTTAACCCTCTTAGAGAAATTTGCGATTGAAAAAGTGTTTTCCTTGACAATTGGGTTTGCCCACCTCTTCCTCCTCAAGTTAAGGAGATGTAAAGACTGGAAATTTTTAATAGGGCCTTTAGACATAGTCTCCTATTTCCTGCCACTCAATTAAAAGAAAAAAAACTTTAGAAGAACATGAAATTATCCCAGCATCCCTATGTCTAAACCACCGATACCTCAGTTCACCCTCTCTGTCTCAGACCTACATGAAACAGGACTTCTGTGGGATTGCTTCAACCGTACTGGACCCAATATTACAGATCTGTTCCCAGTCCACTTCCTTAGACTTGGATACAACTTCCATTTATATCAAAACACTATTCCTGGATTCTACTCTTTGGACTTTGTTCATATACAATTAACTGTCATTATGTGATCACTAGACATGACTTTAAGTCAGTCATTTATCTTCTCTAGGTCTGTTTCCTAATATATAAAATGGGAGCATGGTAAAGGTTAAACATGGTATGTGGATAGAATCAGGAACATTTCATTATGTATCAATAGATGTGTTATTATCATTAATTACTATCTCTATCCCCTCCAACAACTTTGATTTGGACTCCTTTACTGATTACCTAAGAAGATCTAATTCTTGACAGTTACAGGCTGGTCAGTACTAGTTTACTGGTCTACATTTTATACACAAGATGGATAAAGGCGGAGACCACGTATTTCCTGAGCCAAGACTTAAGACACCATTTTATCAGCACAGGCATATTTATAGGGATAGGGACAGACAAGGTGTGAGGGCTAGGGATGTAGTTCCGTTAGTAGATTGCTCACCTGGTGTGCATGAAGCATCCTAAACTGCAAGGTCATCCTTGGCAACATAGCAAATTCCAGACCCTTGTCTCAAAAAAATAAAAATAAAAATAAAAAATATTAGAAGGCAAAATATGAAGCCACGAGTCAGAAACTCAAAGGCTATGGTTCTTGTACCTGTCCTCAGAATATGGATTCCATATACTACACAAAGACAAGTTTCAGTCACAAAGCAGTGCTAAATAAAGGTAGCATTGTCTCCCAATAACTCACTGTATTAAGAAAGGAAAGTTGATCACATTGGGAAAAGTTGTCTGCATTTCATGGAAGTATTTTCCCCAAGAAAGGAGACAACAGAAACTCAGAAGGCATGGGAAATTTGAGTGCAAACTCTACTACTTAAAATGCATGGGCAAAAAGACTAGCTAAACTGGTCATATTCTTTAACTTATCCAAGTCTTAGTTCCTTATCAGTAACAGATTAATGATACCCATCTTGAAGCATATTGTGAAGATTAGAGAGTATATATAGAAGTCTGCCTTAATGTTTGGTCTAAATAAATGTATTTCCTAGAAATCTAAAGCCAAGTTTCTCTTCAAGATGAAAAAGGAACTGTAATTATGCCCACTTTCCACATATAACCAAGCTCTATAATATAAAAACAAACAAAAACTTATCTAACTGCTATAGAACATGGAAATAAACATTTTCTGTAATTACTTTTTAACCCTAGTTTTTCCAGTAAGTATCCACAGATAATCAGATTGGCTATAAATTAACTACCTTTCAACAGTGATTTCTGAAAAGGGAGCTTTCAAAGGCTTCCTTGTGTACTTTCGCAGAGGAGTCTTCTGTTATTTTGTAAGGAAAATAGCATACTCTGAGACTATGTCATTAAAAGAAATGATCTGTTAACATCTTAGGACAAAGTATAGAGGCACCTAGTGAGCCTCACTCTAAGGGATTCCCCAGTCCTGTGTATCTAATGCCTAATTTCCAACTAGAAATCCTGCTCTCTAAATAGATCTTGAGCATTTTAGATAAGTTGAGAAATTATGTGCTGAGTATTTTTTGTTTCTTATTTCTAATGAATCAGTAATTTTGACCTTCGTTCCATATGCCTCTTTAATTTATGGTGAAGAAAATAATACTGATATTTCAAAAATTAATACACATTCTCAAGCCACCAAGTTTCCAAATTATGATATTTCCAATGGCAAATGAAATAACATGCTGTCCATGCAGTTAGTGATTTGAGGCAATTTGAACATCATGATAAGAGAGGGGGGAATTACAAGCAGTGTTATAATTAAAGGTCTGTTGATTCTTCCGTTTAAATGCCATTGTTGAAAGATTTTTCACTCAGATGTCAAAGTCTGTGGCCAGCCAAAACTTGGCATGCTAGAACTGAGCCCAGGGAAACATTGTGTTCTACAGATTGAAAAACCAAAATCTGTTAAGAACAGAAATGTTGGGCTTGGTCTGATTTCTCATGAATCAGAACCAGAACATAGCCAAATACCACCTCCTCTTTATGAAAGGAAGTAGTGCAGGTGGATACTAATGGGAAATGTTTGTTCCCATGGATAATGAACGGAAATTATCGTTTGGTATCAACATACAGTGCCAGGGTTACAGTCACATTATTAAAGCATGTTTCTTTGAGAAGTTCAAAGTGACTTAGAAGCCTCTTCTGGTTACTTCTTTGTGGATGTGAAATGGGGAGCAGTATTTACATATCTCCCAAGGTTTATATTGAAGTTCAGATTCTCCATATCTCATTCCTGTTAGGAGGAACACCTGAAACAAAGCTCTATTTGCTTAACTCCCTTCCTAGAAATAGATTCCCACATGCTATGTTTCCCTAGAAAGAGATTTCCAAATACCTTTTTTCCCTTTTAGTTTGGAAGCTATAAACCCATGGCCTGGAGCTGCATCTAGCTAGCCTATAATTTTTGTTCTTAATTTATATTTGATCTGTGGAATATTTTAAAATAATTAGATCCAGCTTTAAAACACAAAGAGATTTCCAAAATATCCAGATTTTTCCGGCTTCTCTCGAAAATTGAAGCTCTGGCAGCATTAGATCCACATTCGCACGTGGCACCAGCACCGGAACGGAATGGCAGCTGCTCCCTTCAGACAAGCCGTGTACTCTCCAGCTTGACATCCCCACGGCTCCATATTTATGTCACACCCTCTCCTCTCATTTTTCTCTACCACCGTGCCTCAGCTCTGAAGGAATGAGACTGGCCTTCCATTGCTTGTGGTAGTTGTGTTAATGGTCCTTGCTTACCTGGCTGGAGTACTGTTAAAGCTCGCAAACTTTTCCCAGTAAGTAAGACCAATGCAAAGGCTGTGCTCAGTGGTACTCACAAAAGTGTTGTTCAAAATAATGAAAATCAGATGGCAAGAAAATGGCTACAAATAGTGTTTGATTTACTGTGTATTAATAAATTCACAAAATAGAATACCGTTCAGAATGTTAAATATATGCCTCAAGAGAGTGCAGGTCACAAAACAATGTGTACAACAATTTTTCTGTTTTGTAGGAGAACAATATATACAAAAAGGCTGAAAAGATATGTAACAGCGGTGTTAGCAAAGCATGTGTGTCGATGAAAGTGCTTATCCACAGAAATTCGTAAGAAAGCCCACGGGTAGCTCTTGGAGGTGTCCTGCTTGGCTTCCTTCCTCCATTTTGACTCAGGCTTGAAGCTGTTTTCTAGTTCTCCATCCAGAGCTGGTTTTCCTCCTTGCTTTTATTCTGTAAACATGGATACAATAAAAAAATAAGATTCCTGTAGTTGTTTTAAATAATGGGAAAGTTATTATTGCTCGCCTACATGCCACCCAGTCGAAGCCCCTTTGGATGACACAAAAAAAAACTTACTCAAATGCCTAATAACAAATAAAAAAAAAAACTTGAAAAAGAAAAATTCCACATACAGATGAACTTAACACAAACTCTTAAAGGCCAGAACCTAAACTTGCCGCAGTAAAGATATGCCAGTGTGAAGTCGCAAAGCTCCTAGGCAAAAGACTGCTAAGTGTTTCTGGAAATTCTACTGATCCTAATACTTAGCACAACGTCTGGCAGATAAGAGAGGATCAAAAAATTGCTGAATAAAATTCAAATCAATTCACACTCCCACCAATGAATAATTTTAACCTTTATATGAAGACTCTCAGTTGTCTTTTAAATAAAAATAAAATAATGTTTGAATTTTACTGACTGCTCTTATAGCATCAATATCATTTGTCTCCTAGATAGTTTAATACAGCATTTTTTTAAATTTAGTTTATAATTTTGTAGCTGCATGAGCCTAGAGAAAGAATACAAAGGAGTAAGAGATAGTCTTTCCAAAGGTGGATTCAGTAAGAACAGCTCTAGCTCTTAAGTGTGCCTGAAAGTGCCAGCTTCATTGTTTCAGATTGACTCTTGACCACCAACCTCCCTTTCTTGCAGCACTCTGCACTTCTGTGCTCCCCAGCCCCTGTCCTCACGGTTCACCAGTCCATCTCATGATCCTTCTTGCTGTCTCATCCATGTCCCCGTCATCTGCCCACCAGTGTCAGGTTGCCTTTCTTTACCTCTCTCTGTATTCCTGGATTCTAATCAGTTTTTCAAAACTTCTCCATAAGGATCTGAAACTGATATTGGCCTGTAGATTCTGGAACCTTCCTACAGAAAACTAAATATTTCCAACTGATTGTTCTGCCCATGGCATCTCCAGTGCTGACTACTATCCTTTGAGTACCGCAGAAGCTGGTCAAGTTGATCCCAAAATTATTGTGCTTCTCTGTCTCCTCATGCCCCTAGCCTAAACCCAGTCCTTCTGACTGCCAATTGTTGAAGTTTTCCCTATATTTGAAAGTCCATCTTACATACTTAGCCTTCTTTGGTATTCCTCAAGTACTGACTCCTACAGAATTTTATTAGCAACTCTTATGATTCCTTCCTGTTGTGTTTTAATCATGTGATGGTTATATTCTAACTATAAGGAATTGACTTCCTACTCATCTTTGGAGATATGAGGTCCTAGTAGGGTCCTTTGCTCACAACAGACATGCATTAAATATATATTGAATTTATATACACGCTAGGACTTGAATGATACAGAAATTCCACCTTGCCCCAAATATCTCCTCTACTTTTCAGGCCATAATATCTTGTTGGGTGCTTTTTTTTCTCTACATATGGGGATTTTCTATAAGTTTTTGGTCCCTGGAAAGTAAACTGTTGGCTCTGTAATATATGGATTTTGCTTCCAACCAAGAGGCAGTGATCATCTCCTATAAGGAAAAAAAAAAACTCTGAAGAATAAGTCAAACATCAGTTGTAGAGGGTGAAGACTCGGAAAGAGACCAAGAAAGAGGCAGGAGCTTAGGTGTGTTACTTAACTAGTTGAATGCCTTGTTATCTTATCTGTAAAAGTGTGTGATAACAGCAACGTATACCTTGTAAAGATGTTATTAGATCTAGCCAAATAGGTATAAAGTATTGATGATAATACCTGACATGTTGTAAATGCTAATAACTGGTAGCTATCATTGAAATAGTTATGTGTGGCTTATGTATATGGGGCATATATACTTCAAATATGCTCATATAGAGTAACTGTACATATATGAATAATAGGTAATACATATGGATTTTTATATAATGATTGTTTTAACTGTTATTCCATTCATGGCAAGAAACCTGTGGATAATCCATGCGGGGACCTTAAACTCCTGGTGATACGGGATATAAATGAAAGACCAAATATTGTCAGACAGGCCTAGTTTGAAGCACACGTCTGCCACCTTCTCACTGTGCAGTGTAGAGTCATTGAACCTGTCAGAAACTCAGTGTCTCCCCTGGAAGCAGGGGTAAGTCTCTCTTTCGCTCCTGGTCTGAAGACTGAGCAAGCTTCTGCCCTCTGTTCATGCTAAGACCAGACTTCCTTCTTGTGGTCATTGCTGTCCTCTTCCTGACCTTTGCATTTATTTTCTTGACAAATTAGATTTCAGACTTTTTGTCAGGAACAAACTTAGAAGAAATGACTGGCACTATTTCAGAAAAGTGGTGGCTGCACCAGCTACTAATTTCAAATTATTAATAATTTAATATAATAGTGAAAAGTTGAAATATGTACCAATTAATATGTACCAAGCCTGATGGAGAACAAATATGTACCAAACTGTAGCTAAATCCTTAATCTAGAACAAACTTACTATTCTGTCAGGTTTTTTTTTTCTTTTTGTAAAATGTCTTTTACCTATAGAAATAGTTGTGCCAATGAAATTTTTACAGATGGTAGGTTTTTTTAAGTAAGGGAATTCAGATTTTTATTGAAAAAAAAAAATGTCCCGCTTAGTCCTATTTGAAGGATGTATAAAGGTTCAGGAGGGAAGGAAAAACAGAAAAATAAACAGTTCTGAACGTACCTACAAACTCCAGTCCATTTGGATCTGAAAGAGAAAGAAACTTACGGTGTCCCTTCTTGCATTTAGCCTTGTTCTTGTTCTGCTGTGATGTGGCACTTAATGCTCCAGGGGACCTAGAGCAGTGTGACAAATGCAACCAAAAGTTTCATGAAAATGAGCCTCTTAAGAGCGTCTGAGCTGGTCTGCAATGGCCTCGGGAAATCCCCCCAGCTATTCTCGTCCTTTTTATCCACTACATTCTCTGACTCAAAAGGAAACCTCACTTCACCTCCTTGACCAGAATTGAGCAGACATTGATTTGGCTACCTGGTGCTTTATTTATTCATTCATTAGTCTTCACCATTTGTATTCTAGCAGAACAAAGGAATCTATCTTTCTTTGCATTAATTTTAAGGATGTGCAAATGTATGTCTGTCAGAGTATGCATATTTATGTTTATGTAATTTTATGAATAGCTTGCTTTAACTTAAAATATTTCCAGTCAAAATTGCAGTACATAGAAACTCACGGTCAACGTCATTGTGCAGAATGTCTGTACTTGACACATTAGCTGAATTCCTAAAAATCTTGCACATAAAGTGAGCATTTAAAAAGAGAATCATGTTTTCCATTCACTTCTATAATTAGTCAGGTTAGGTGTCACATGGGAAAAATAAGTGGCCAGTGCATAATTTTTTTAAAAAATTAAGAATTGCAACTTTCACTTCAGTGATAATGATGCATTTATCTGTAGACACTTTATGTGCATTTAATTGCCCCCAAGAAAAGCCAATAAGAAGTGAATCCAATTAAACAGCAGATAGTTTAGAAGCAAATGTTCTTTCTAAACCACCAGTGGAAACAGAAGGAAACTCAGAGAGTATAAGTCAGGGCTTGTTCCCCTAGTTAAGAGTGCACAGCAGAAAAGGTAGAATTGAATACACAAACCTTTAAACAACAGCTCATGATATTCAAATGTATTCTTTGCACAATTACATTAATGATTTATAATAAAATATACTATAATTTCCTTTCTGTTTACAGGACTCAGAGTGGGTACCACATTCTCATAGCTGCTTAAATAGCATTAATGAAGGAGCTTTTCATCTGAACACAGAATACAGATTTCTTTAGGCAATTTGACCATTTAAAGCAGAAACTGTTTGCTTTGGGGCAGAATGCGTGTTCCAGTTCTTTTAAATCTTGAACCAGTGTCTTTGTACAAACTTTCCTACAGGAACACTTGTTGAGCTAATGAACATTTCTAAATAGATCCTTGGGATTAAGCAACTAAAGAATGGCCTTTGAAGATATTTTTAACCCCCTAGTACCAGCTTTGGATGTCATGCTTTCTTCAAGTTTGTAATTCTGAATTTATTTTACTTAGGGAATCTTCCCTAAGTCAAGTTGGTCAAAATGGAACTATAATAAATTCTATAGCACTGTCTGTTTAGTGTGCAGCTGATCATGAACAAGGAGAGATCAAGTGGGGAATTAAAGAAAATTCATCCTTAATTACCACTTTAGTTATAACCTGACAGAACTGTTCAGTGAGGAAACTATGGATGTATGTGCAACTTACATATGAAAACATATACAAGCTACCATTCCCAATGTACTATACATACCTTCACTCTCCTGCTGGAGAGTAAGTAATCAAAATAGCAACACCAATCAAGATCCTTAGTTCAAAAGCATTCTGGATACATCATCCATTTTAATTCTTAGAACAAGATGTTCTCCAAGGCACATGTTATCCGCATTTACAAATAGTGTGTGAGGTTTAAAAGGCCAGATGACTTGCTTAAGGACACAAAGTTCTTAAAGGGAGCAGCTGCCTCTATTAACTCAAACATTGTGAGTGGCTTAGCAGAAACAGGGACCCAAACTGAAACGTTGCCATACCACAACCATCCTGCAAGGCACAGAGGAACTACCTCTGTGATACGTAGGCTTTACTCTTCATCATCTTCTATGAGGTCATTTTTTTCCCACCTGCAAAGAGGCCTTTTACTCAGATGCCAAAGAAATCCTTATGATGTTCTATGAAAATCATTATTATATCTAATACAGTTGTATTGGTCCTTTACAACCTGTGAAGAATGTGGACTTCTGTTTCTAAAAAGGATCTTAATCCTAATTTGAACAATCCTTCACACCTTCTAGGATTTATACTTTTTCCATTAAAAATTAGGTAAAGATAATCAGTTTGGTTTCTGGGAACATCTTGTCTGGAAACACCAGTGATAATAGATCACCTTGCTAAATGGAATGGACCTGGACATTGAGACATTGAGAAAGAATTGTGATTGTGAATCCCACAAAAAAAAAAAAAAAAAAAAAAAAAAGCCACAGACTTTTGTTTTCAGTACAGAATCCAAAGTTGTCACTAAATTCTGCAATCCAGTGAATAGGGAATTTGAGATTTAAAAAAAAAAAAAACAACTCAGTACTTGGTTCTAGAGCCTAACAATGCCAGGGCTCTGTTACTCAATATCACATGCTTCGGTTGTGTACAGACATCCAGGCAACATTGGAACTTGAAAACTTGGAACTTGACAGGGTTTCTCTGTGTAACCCTGGCTGTCCTGGAACTCACTTTGTAGACCAGGATGGCCTCAAACTCACAGAGATCTACCTGCCTCTGCCTCCTGCCCATGATTAAAGACATGCGTGCACCACCATTGCCCAGCTGAAAACTTGGAATTTCTTAAGCCTTTACTGTTACTGTCTCAAAGCCTCTGTCAATATGAATACCATGATGTCCTCAACACCTTGGTCCTAGAATACTTGCCATCCAAATTGACATTTCTTCCACAATAAATAATTATGACCTATAATTTTTCATCATTTGTGATTTTAATAAGTTCTTTTGCATAAATAGAACTTGTTCCATATTATAGGTGATGAGATCAAGATCATGGTCTGAGGTCACATACAAATTTTAGAGTCACAGTTATGCCCGGGTTAGCAAATAATCTCACATTTCATCATGATTTTTCATAGCCTTGTTGAACTTCACAGATTTACCCGATGACAGTGATTCTCAACTGGACTTTAAAGTCACCTAAAGGGCTTGCCAAAATATAGGTACTCCAGCATCTTCCTATGGGTGTCAGATTGAGCACGGCTAGAGTAAGACCCAAGGATTTATAATTCTGGCAAGTTTCTAACCAACACCAATGTGACTGGTCTGAGGAGCATTCTTATAGGAGCACTGACCAACCGAATGTACTAACTGAATGGCAGGTATATAGTAAGACAAGGCTTTCTGAAAGAAGTTAGCTCCAGAGATGCTGCCTTAGGCTGCTTAGTTCTCCATTTCTAACCTCCATTGGGAAAGAATAGAACAAATATGGAGTAGTGAGGACGAGGGGAAAAAAGACTTCAGTATTTTGAAGAGTTCAGCCTTCTGGCACTCAAAAATTGGACACTGATGGGTAGAGAGATGGTTCCAAAGTTAAAAGTACTGCTGCTTTTCCACAGGACCCAAATTTGGATCCTAAAACCATCATGGCAGGGTCAGAGAGTCACAACCTCTAGGGGTATCTGGTGCCTTCTTGTGGCTTCTCTGAGCATCTGCACACATGTAGCATACTCAGAGACACATATACATAAATAAAAATAAACATAAAAGAAGAATTGGACTCTGAAATCCTTCAGCTTCCTTCTAACTAGAATTACTGTTGTCAATAACTAGGAAATATGAGTGCCATCCCTCAGCAAGTGTCATTAGATGGATCTTCAATGGACCCCTTTACAACATGTTTTAAGAGCATGGCTTTGTGTGAACCTAGGAAGGAGTTCTTACAGCAGAAAGAAAAGACTCACCCGTGCTTTGTCAGCCAGACACTGTGACTGATAAAGGCTCTTGTAATGTAAACCCAGTTAGAACCAACAAAGTAATATATCTGCCAAAGTGAATTTTAAAAAAAAAGCTAAGAAATTTTAGTTGTATCAAAAGATAATATCCAGACCAATGTAGCTGACGGTGCCTGTATTAATTTCCTAGGCTTTTAGAACAAATTACCACATGCCTGCTACTTTAATACCATGCGTATTTATCCTCATTACAGTTGTGAGAGCAAAAGTCTGAACTTGTTTTACTGCACTAGAGTCAGGGTCTTTCTAGAGCTCGTTCATTTTGGAGATTCTAGAAGCCAATTCACCTTCTTGCCCTTTCTGTCTTTGAGAACCTCTGCACTCCTTGACTTATGGCCCCTCTCTTGGATAGCTCCAACTCCAACTTCTGCCAGCATATCAGCTGACTGATCCTCCTACCTCTTTCTTATAAGAACTTGTGACTGTATTTATAGCTGAACTAGGAAATCCCAGATAATCTCCCCATCTTAACAGTGTTGGTTTAATCACATCCACAAGACCCCCTTGGCCATATAAGGTAACCTACAGGTTCTGGGAGTTAGGACATGGGTGTATTGTAGGGCTATCCATCAACTCACCTAGCACAGTTCCTTTGCAGTATGGTCATAAGACTAAGTGCATAGTTACCCCTTTCTTGGCGTCAGAATTTAAGACTTATTTTAATAGAATTTATCCAAAAGGACAAGAGAGTAGGATTGTGGAAGCCAAGGGTATGAAAGACAGCTCGGAAAGTATGAGCAAAGCAAACATGGAGAGGGACAGAGGAATTGAGTCCCAAAATAGGTGCTTTTCTTCAGTTGTTTGACCTTAAGCTTATCGGATAAGCCTTCTCTACAACTTAGCTTTCCTAGGCTACAGAGAAAACAAAGCACCTACTGAAGACCTTTTTCTTCTATTATATTACTGGATTACATTTTAAAACTAGGGACTTGCTTACTATCTCCAGTATTCAGGACGAATGTTGTCCACTTTCTCTTCTAATTTAAAATTCACTTAAGTTTAAATTTGGAATATGTTCTCTAAGGACCTCTTTCTGTAAAAATAGTGGTGAGGCTATAAAAATAAATAAACAGTATGAGTATTTGCATGACTAATTTTGTTTGCTCGTTTGTTTGGTTTGGTTTGGTTTTTTCTTTTCTTTTCTTTTCTTTTTTTTTAGACAGGGTTTCTCTGTGTAAATTCCTGTTTCTCTGTCCTGAAACTCACTTTTTAGACCAGGTTGGCCTCAAACTCACAGAGATCTGTTCTGCGTGCCTCTGCCTCCTGAGTACTGGGATTAAAGGCATGTACCATCACCACCCAGTGGCTGATTCTTAAGTATCCTCCTGAGTAATATCATTTAGAGCATCAAATCACTGGTCTTAGGGTAATATATTCCATTTTATATACTGGAAACTTAGGGCCTAGATAAAAATGTTGTATTAAGAACTGTGAAAATATTTGGTACTTTCAGTTTTTATTCGGTGTCATCTACCAGTGTGAGCAGTAGTCATTTGAGACAATACATTAAATATGCCAAACAAAATGGAAAGGCCTTGTTCCCACAGAGGTCAGTCTCAAAGCATTAGTGACTAACAAGAAGGCAGTCACTGAGAGATCACTGAGCAGTCCCAAAGAAATGAGGACAGGCTGTTTGTTTATTTGTTTATAGTACTTAGGCCTGTTTGCAGATAAGGTCATGGAATTAACCTTTGGTTCTCAAAAGGAAGTAGGACAGGTTTGATACAATCTCCCTATTGCATTAAGGTCACCCCATAAGCACTGCCTTTTAAGTGATGATTCACAGAGGACCACAAAGAATCGTTTGGAGGAAGTTTATAAGAAAGAAGACTTTGAGAACTGAACCAGAAAGATGCCTGAAAGTAAATCAGATTCTGGCATATACAGAGTTATGGCATTTATTATTATGTGCAGAGTATGCTTGAAATTTTGAACTAAAAGCTGGAGAAGCAAAGGTCTAGAAACTCTCATGCATAGTAAATAAATTAACCCTTTTTTCTGTTTTCCATACACCTTACATTTGGTGATTTATTCATGTAGGTATGCACTAGTAAAGTGTGGTGTACCATGCATGAAGCTACTTATTTGTGCATGTGACTAAGACGTGGGCCTCTGGAAGCTTCTTGTGGTGTTGTGTGGACAGGACAATCTTTCCTAAACCAAAAGTTCTTTGGGAAAAGGAGAGGGGTGTGTCTGCTTTTGACTGTAAAGCTTCTGCACTTACTAAACTAGGTTATCTCCTATAAAATATTTGGAGGTTTTATAAAGCCAGGGTCTAATGCCAGGATTACCAGCTATTTTACATGAGACTTATATTATATGCTGTACATACAGTACTTAGTCCTTTTGTCTAATCTAAAAACATCAGAAATGTCATTGATATATTTATGCTAAAAATACATAGAATAAAGAAATTATTTTATCATAAGCAAGTCATCAGCTCTGAAAATATCTATCCATGAAATCTATATATTATTGGAATACATACATATTATTAGAATCCTGTCACCAAGGAAATGATTTAATAATCTGTTTATTTAAAAAAGAAAGAAAGAAAAATAATAATAATCTGTTTATCTGAGTGCCAAATAGAAATCCTAGCTTCAACTAGTTATCTTTGTTTTATAATGACTCTTATTCCTTTCCCTATTCATTTATTTATTACATGTCTACTATATACTAACCATTTAGCATGGATGGGGGAAGCAGCAGACTAAGTGATTCTGCAAACCTTAAATATAACTACCTGTTTGTGTGTGTTCATATGCTTTTTAAAAGAGCATGTCTGTGACAGAGAGTGAAGTATAGCATTGTCAGGGGACAAATTAAAGAGACACGATGTAATTATCCAAACTGGAATTAAGCCAATTAATAACCTGTGTGCTAACACTACCCTCAAAGTGCTAAAAATACCATCAGATACTTAAATGTCCTGGGTGGTCATGGTCAGCGGTCTTCATCTCACCCAGTCTCAACACTGTGCCAGGGCATGTGCACTCTGGCTTCTGATTAAGGGCTGCACCTGAGAGGCACCGATGAGACAGTCCAGACTCTCAGGCTTCCGAGATGTAATTCTTT